CACCCCTCCCCCCCAAAAAAGTCCAGTAAAGGGATAATTGTGTTTCACTCAATTATCTTCATCTGTCGAAAATGGTCAAATGTTCTGTAGTTGTGATACTTTATAGAGAATTTTGTCAGTGGTCTATCGTTCTGAAATGTTGTGTGGCCCTGAAGGTCTATGAGAGTAAAGTTCAAAGAATGTACATTATTTGACATTTGTGTGTGTGTTCAATAAGACACAAAAAATTGAAAAAGTGTGTGAGGTATGTGAGCGGGTGTATGTCCCTTTAGTTGAGTTTGCAAATATGATATTTTTACAGAAAGCAAGTCTTTACTCAATTAGAACTCAAATAAGGATGAGGCTTTATGCAACATTTTCAACCCCCTAATGCCATCTGTGTGCAAACTATTCCCATTACAGTGGTTCTCAACTGGTGGGCCGCGGAACAATATTAGTAGGTCACAAGAAGTTCCTGGGATTTCAAATTTCTAAGGCCTTTCTTTCTATATAATGACCCATGATTTAAGAATAATTAAGTATTATCAATAAATGTGTCCATAATGCATGATAAAACTAAATCTAAAACCTCTGAATATTAGATAAAAACTGAATTTATTTGGAACATAACATAAAAAATATGTCCCATTGGTTGATTAGTATAGTATTTTTTTTTTTTTTTTTCATTTCCTTGATTCTGGAGTCTGTTGGAGTTTGTGTTTATAACAGTAGCTTCTGAGTGTTAATCAATGCATACAAACAAATAATTTCTCACTATATACAGTATTTTACATTATTTACATACTAGATATAATTATTTGGGTCACAGCTTGCCGTTAAATCCAGTTTAGAACCACTGCATTCGACGATGTATGTGACAAGACTTTGAAAATATAAATATATCACCAATGTACAGGTGAAACTGGAGGAGATTATTGCTCAAAAGTCCATTCCATACTTTTATATTTTAACTTACACTGTGAAAGTAATTTAGGGCAAACTTATTACATGCAACTTTAGACCCAGAAAATCTTTAGCCTGAGTCCTGGATCTATAACTTGTCTGTGGACCAATGGTTTCTATGTGTTTGTTATTATCGCATGTGCTGTGGTCAGACTGTCTGATTCTCTGGTATGTTTTTGGTGAATTGGCAACTTTGTGAAGTCCCTCAAAGACCACTGCTGTTGTGATTTAGGGTTATACCAAAATACATTCACTTGAAATGAATTAACAGTGGCTCAGTTGGTAGAGCATTGGCCTTTGAGCCTGAAGGTCGTGGGTTCGAGCCCATTGCAAGACATTCTCCGACTCCCACTCATGTCTGCTGTCGTTGCGTCCTTGGGCAAGACACTTAAATGGATTAAGGGGATTAAGAATATGGATGAATTGAATTAAAACATTGATAATTGGCTTAATAAAACATCACAGAAAATCAGAATACTTTGATAAATGGACTGTAAACCGTAATTTTAAAAAATGAAAAGGTTTGGGATATGTCATCTACAGCATACATCATATTGGTTCTATATTTTAAGTTGAATTACAGAAAGAGATGAACTTTTGAACAATATTTCCGAGTTTCGCCTGCATATAGTTGGCATCACATTATATTGGAAGCATGTGGCTCAGTCGATAAAGTTTACCTGAAAAGTACATATCGCAGATCATAAACAGCTCACGGTCTGCTCTTGTCCTTTGATTATCCAGAGCCGGTTCTGTCCCACGATAGTCCGTCTTTTTTCCCTTCGCAAAACACGGGAGGCGCTTGTTGCCGAGCAGAAGTTGTTGCCGAGCAGAAGTCTTCTCTCATACGCTGATATTGACACAGACTCGAGGAAGGTCACTGTGGCTGCAGTTTTAGTCCAATCTCTTACATAAGGTCATCCTGTAATCCTGCTTGCATGTTGTTTGCAAGAGATTATAGAGGGGGAAAAAAGTGTTTTTTCTTTCGCTGAGTATTAGAGAGCATAAAACAGAAAGCTCTCCAAAAGATACGAGCCAAGTGTGCCCCATCCCAGTCCATTCACCAATCCCACTTGACGTATTTGGTCTTTCCATCTTCTTCCAGCCCAATGTGTATGTATGTGTGTTTATGTGTGGGTGTGTGGGTGTGTGTATGTGTGTGTGTGTGTTTTATCTTGGACATGGTGTACAAAGTAGACTAAGTAGAATTATGGACCAATTCCACAAGGGATTTCAGATATAGTATATAATGAACACAGATTTGAAAGTCACAAAATGGCAACAAAAAAATGGCACAATTAATTACATCCTTGATTAAAGCTAGGGTACCTCAATTTTTGTTTCATAAATAATACAATTTCATTCAACAGAAGCAGTTGGGGCGACAGTGGCTCAGTTGGTAGAGCATTGGGCAAGAAAATGGATGAATGGATGGGATTCTTTCAACAGAAGGAGAATTCTTAAAGTAAAATATTGTGAACAAATCAGTCTTTGCCTTCTTTGAAAACATTAAACTTTTGCATACTCGTTGGAAAGAGCCCTGTGAGTCACTACTTGAGGCTTTGGGCTGAGAGAGGATTTTCTGAGTGAGGGTGGTCCTGTCTTTTAGGAAAAAACAGATCTAAAGATGTGAAAGAAGCCAAAAAATATATATATGCAGGTGATAGAACTACACTGTTTTGAGACATAGCAACTTTTAAAAATTCAGTGCCCCAGCTTTAAAATAAAAACATATTTTCAGGAAAGTTTTTCACAACGAATGCATTTTGAGAGAGAAAGACAAGATGATGTGATTAAAAATTGATTTGACCTGTACTTTTAGGTAGAGGAAGTTCACCATTCCCGTATGGATGTGTGCGTTACCATGGTGATTCCAGAGAACGTATACTGTATATACTGACAGCAGTGAGTTTTTGGGTTTCAGAACATAACTTTTAGCAGCAAAAACACCTGTAGCTCGTCTTGCATCATCCGTGTCAGTAACTCACACAGACGCTGACCGGAGTACAGACTATAAAGACGACATATTGTGCTTCAGGAGTTTTGATGCTTGTACTTTCTTCACGTCTATTTGCCATTGCTCATATGATTGTACTTTACTCCACCACCAGGAATTTGATTATTTGATTATTTTCTATATCTGAGAAAGTTAATTCACTGACATTGTTCAGGCGTTTTGGCACGAATGAAAGAAAACCTCTCCACTCAGGACCCGCTAAAGAAGGAAAGGTGGTGTGTATCCGTCACACTATAAAGAGGATGTAGCACAATATAGGCACTGTTGTCGTTTCTTTGATTACAACTGGGTAATAATGTCAAAATCCTGGAAATAATTACATGGATTTTTATCACTTATTTACATTGTTAGCTGTTTGAAAATGTAAGTTGTATAATATTTTTTTCAAAGAGATTTAAAATGTCTAAAGTATGGATCGGAGTTTGTGTAATGTCAAGGAAGTTCACACACCCAGACAGACATTTTTTTAATTATTTATTATCTATCTAATTTATTTAATATTTGCCATATTTCAGATGGTTTTTGCTCATTGTTAGTGGTATGTGAAGCCAGTTTTATTATTATTATCATTATTAGTATTAAAATGCATAGCAACAAGCAGATTGTGCGTACTGTATATTTAGTTAAGAAGACACTGCACGAGCTTCCTGTTTTCATCCTCCAGTTCTCAATATTGTGTACTACGCCTTTAAGATATTTGACAGCTTAGAGTCTTTTGTGGTAGTTATGGATGAGTTTCTTTATCCTTTGATGGTAAAGCTGATGGTAAATTCCTCAGTCAGCTGAGTGAACGGCACATTTGAGATCACCGCAGATCAGCTCAATAATGTCGTAACTTGAAAATATAAATTATAAATAGAAATTATGTATACATCTGGCAATAAAATGCTTCACACAACCACAATGAGGAGGAGGAAAACAAGTTTTCTTTGGTAACCCAGAGATTTGCCATTCTATGTCTGGGCGTATTTGAGTTAAACATGTGCACTTTATTTCTATTGTTAGTAACTTTTAGAGTAATGTATGTACTATGGACAGATGTGTTTCTGATGCTGGATCCTATGGGGATCAATTATCTATCTATCTATCTATCTTTCTTTCTAGCCATCTATCTATATACCTACTGACCTAGCCACAGTACAGACCAAAAGTTTGGACACACTTTCTCATTCAAAGATTTCCTTTCTTTTCATGACTATTGACTGTAGATTCACACCCAGGCTATGTAAGGGCTATTTGACCAATAAGGAGAGTGATGGGTGCTGGTCCAGATGACCCGGCCTCCACAGTCACCGGACCTGAACCCCATCGAGACGGTTTTAGGGTGAGCTGGGCCACAGAGTGAAGGCGAACGGGCCAACAAGTGCTAAGCATCTCTGAGAACTCCTTCAAGACTGTTAGAAGACCATTTCAAGTCAATAAATCTTGAAGCTCATCAAGAGATTGCCAATAGTGTTTGAAGCAGTAATCACGGCAAAAGGTGTTACTTTTAAGAACCGAGAATATAAGACATATTTTCAGTTGTTTTTTTAGTACGTACATAATTCCACATGAGTTAATTTATGGTTTTGAGGCCTTCAGTGTGAATCTCTTTGAATGAGAGGGTGTGTCCAAACTTTTGCTCTGTACTGTATTTATCTATCATAGCAGACAAAAGCAGCACAATAAGTCGTCTTTAGTGCTTTCGGACACTCACTGTCTTTCCATCCAATTATCAAAGACCTTTGCCAAACTTTATTTTTCATTTTCCAGAAATGATAAAACCATGTTGATTTGTTTTGAAATGACATAGTGCAGCAGGGTACAGATAGAAAGTGTTCTGTGTTCTGTGTTCTACAACCAGCTGAAACTTCAGTCAGTGCTCGATAATCATTAGAAGCGTCTTTGAGAGGACAAACATCACATACCACCGGAAAAAAACGTGAACGTAGAAGGAAAGATCTCGTGTCTGTCGTTGGACGCATCTCTCGCGGCTAATCAAACACATCGAGGCTAGTGTGGCACAGTTTAACGGTCGACGGCGCTGCACGGTCTCTCTCTTTTATGTGAAATCTTTGGAAACCGCCTCGATAAAGTTGGGCGCGGACATGAGGATGGTGAAGGTGCAAATGATGGAGAATAACGAGAACGCCACGATGCACAATCTATCCACCACCGCCGCCGCAAATTTCCACTCGCTCGAGATGGCCTCCCCCTCGTCCTTCTCCCGGAACCGCCTGGCTATGTACTGCACCTCCTCCAAGATTCGCGAGATTTCCGGGATCTGCTCCAGGAGTAGAATCCGGTTTTGCTCGGCGTGGGATTCGTGCAGAGTCGGGACGCTCGGATGGGTCCCGACTCCGCAGACGCTGGAATCCGTGCTGAGTGGGAAGGTGGGGTTATCCGTGCCCATGGAGTGGTATCCGAAGTACAGGTTCATGTTTCCGTTGGTGGTGGCCGGAGCGCCGGAGGTGGCCTGTCCCGGGATGGCGGTCATTTGGATGCTGTTGGCGCTGGTGTGGTGCGGAGGCGGGTGGGTGTATTTGAAGGTGGAGGTGGTGGTGTTGGAGGTAGCAGAGGTTTTTCTGTCCTCTCCAGGTTTTTTCATGCGAAGGAACCAGGCGCACCAGTTCAGCAGAATGACACGGATCTGGAGAGGGAGTTAAAGTTAGATTGTGACAGATTGGCAGAGAATGAACAGTATTTTGATATATAATAATAATAAAAAATAATAATAATAGCTAATAATAATAATATTACACCTGTTTTATATAATGCAATTCATTAAAATTCAAAGACTTTAAAAAAGAAGCAGACATTTATATACACACACACATTTATACACACACACATAAACATTTATATACACACACAAACATTTATATATACACACACACACACACATTTATATACACACACAAACATTTATATATACACACACACAAACATTTATATATACACACACACACACATTTATACACACACACATACACGTTTATATACACACACAAACATTTATATACACACACACATACACGTTTATATATACACACACAGACATTTATATACACACACAAAAAACTACTTATAAGTGTGCAAAATATTTCTTGTTTTATAACTCCTTTAGCACTCAATTTTACTGAACTTTTAGTCTTTGAAGGGTATTAAAATCCATAACTCTGACTTTTTCTGTGACAATATGCAGTTTATTCTTACATAATGACTTTTATGACGATACATTTTATGTTCTAACTCCCAGAGCCTCATTTTGACTGCAAAAAATCATATCCAAAGATCCAATTTAAAAAGAAGCTTGTCCTATATTTTCAGGAAGACTGTTCCAGATTTTGCATGAATTTCAAAGGCAAACTGCTGGATTTCACATGCTTTCTAAAATCAGTTTTCCAAAAGGAGGTATTGGTAGTTTAATGGTTCCAAAATCTTACTAATCATCACACACTGTCTTTCCCCGTTAAACAGAAAACATGAATAAGATCTGCACATGTTATGTCTGTTCTGTTTAAGGCGGGGCTTCGTGTGCAGGAGCTACGTCCTCTCTTCCACAACAACAACACAGCACAATCCATTAGCCTCTTTAGTAATAAATCATAGCTGATTGTAGACTCACCCATTTGGGCATCTTCCCTCCGTGTGGGTCGTGATGGTGGAACTGCAGGACCAGAACAGTCACCACCACAGACAGCCCCACGATCATCATCGTACTGGCAAAGTACTGAGCTGGAGACAACCACACACAGGTCATGTTAGCCAGATTCATACATAAAACAAGTCCCTTAAAAATGTTATATTTATGGTTACAGTATTTATAAAACAAGTTTGCAAATGAGTAACTGTAAGAAACCTCTGCAGCTTTTCAAGGCGGGTCTGGACTATCTGTTGTTAATATTCTGTGTTCTTTTTGTCAGAACTTAGGTTTGACATAACAAAAGTGTGATTATGTGATTATTTTAGTAATGTGTTAAAAGTAAACTTGGTAAAATAGTAAGAAAAAAAAAAGAAAGAGATGTAGGTTGTCTGAAATAGTTCTTATGCACTGAAATATTGGAAAATAAAGATAAAAAACATGAGAAGATAATCACTTCAAGGTTGAAAATAGATAATTATTTATTGGTTTGCGTCTGCACTACATCGCAAGTATTCAATCGGTTTTGTTTAATTGTTTTTTATTTGATTACATTGATTATATGGAGCTGGCTAATCTGTGTCACAATTATCAAAATGCTTTGTATCAAGGAACCACTCTCCCATTCACACACACAAAAGCTTTACTGAAATGATGCTGCCTGAATGCATGTGGTCTCTCTGCTTGGCCTCGCACCAAAGTACATATATAACATGTCAGTCCCATATGAACCAACTCTGGTTCATAACTCTGAGCTGCATTTCCGATTCATGCTGCTAAAATCTGGAACAGTCTTTCTGAAAGTGTGAGACAGGCCTCTTCTCTGACAATGTTCAAATCCAGGTTAAAAACAGTTCAGTTTAGCTGCGCATACAACATTATTATTATTAATGTACTCTGATTCTTCTTGTAGCAGCCTAATACTGAGGTCCAGAGACTCTAGGGTTCTCTCTCTCTCTCCAACCATCTCTCTTTGGGGTATGATATTTTCTGTTATGTCTGTTTGTATCTTGTTATAATTCAGTGTCATTAAATGTCCTCTTTTAGATCTATTGGTTTGGGCCTAGTTTGTGCAGCAACGATTACATTTGCTATATAAATATACTTGCCTTGCCTCATAAGTCTAATTTCCTTCCCCCTGATGGCTGTATATTCCTGACTGCTTTGCCCAATGTTGCTGATCCTCTATAGCCCACAGCACCCGCCCTGCCCCGCCCTGTCCTGCCCTGAGGGTGTGAAGACCTGCTGCTGTGAGGATCTTATCCAGGTACAGCTGACACGCACAGAACACGTGCCTTCTGGGTAAATGACCTCCTGCATGTGTCGCGCTCTCTCTGGTTCACTCTGTCAGAAGCAGCACAAGCTCAAGCTGAAGCTGCATTATTAGGGATGGACCTTTTTTTTCAGCTGATAACAATGTATTTATTCAGTTGACTTGAAAAAAAAATCAGGATAATTCTGTAATCACAAAATAATTCATTTCTGAGTCAAGATTTAATCGTGAGCTTGACGTGAAAAGTCAGAAATTTCACATAAATGATCATATCTGAACACTTTCACAAACAGACTGATGCAAAGCTGATATGTCGCCGGCAGAAGTGAAGACGAAATACTAACAATACATTTATTGTTTTAGAGAATATATATCACTGTCTAGTTTATTTGCAGCCCACTGCCCAGACAATTTATCATTTTCAATAAAAATTGTTCAAAAGAAGTTTTATGGTATGATTCTGTTGCTTTATTTATACCCCAGCTGTATTTTTTCCAATTATTTTCAAGATCAAGCAAAGAGCGTCCGTGTCTCCCTTGAGAATTTGTAAATCCTATGACAAATGCTTCACTGTGTTAATATTTTTAGTTTGAGTCGTATTGTGGGTCAAACAGACAGTAATTAGCAAACAGACGTGTCGTACCGATGAGAGGAACCGAGTCTGACGTGGCTGGCATGATCTCTGCCACCAGAAGCATGAAGACCGTCAGTGACAGCAGCACCGTGATGCCTGATGGGAAAACAACAATATCTTAAGGTTCACTACAAATACAACGTTTGCAAAGTCCACTCGTCTGACAGGGAATTTACACAGTAGGCTTTAACAGACTGCGCGCATGTGCGTGCAACATTATGTGGGTGTATCTACACTGGCCGTGCGCGCAGGTCCGCGGCTTCTGATGCTCTCCCTGTGTGTGTCTATGGAGCAGTGTAGAGGACAGTACGGGCCAGAGGACTGATGTAGAGCAACACAAATCACATGCATGTGTTTGTCTTCATGGTCTCTGTGCTGGTTTGGCCAGACGCCAGACTTTATGAAAGAAAAAAAAACGATGTCCAGAATCACAGTAAAACCTGCTGCTCCTCCTGCTGATGTTTAGATACAAGTGCTGTGTGTGTGTAGATGTGATCTAAAACCAAGGGCCACTAGAAAAATCATGTTTCACATGTGTTTTCAATGGGAGACGCGTTGCTGCGCGCACAAAATTAGAAATCCATCCTAAATTAGGTACAGCCTCGCGTCAATACGTCCGTCATACGTGCATATAACACTAGTAGTGTAAATATCACCATTGGTTTACAAGCTTCTGACTTCTAACTATTGACCAATACTAAAGCTTTGGCATTTCTAGCTCCAGGTGTTTATCTTTCCTTTGTGTAACAAATGGACGTTGTATAGTAACAGTCTTGTCTTGACAATTGTAGCTTAATGTCAGTATTAGCATAGAGAGTCAGTGCATGAAGGTCCATCTATTGTCTTTATCTTGTTCAGCACCTTGAGTTGCCTAGTGTATGAATTGTGCTATACAAATAAGCTTGCCTTGCCTTGCCTTGCCTTTATCGTGTTCACAGTCCACAGTGGGCGAGTGACAAATAGAGGAGAGGTGTGAATAATATCATATCCGCTTTGAGCTGCAGTGATCTGGTCCAGGTCTGGGTTTACAGAATGTGCCATGACAGTTTAGGGAATGATCAGATTCATTCATTAATGCAATAAATTATTACTAATCAGATTATCATTATTTGATTATTAAATTTGATCTTTTCAGTGAAACTTTCTTTTAAGACCTGTGATGAATTGTACAGCTGAAGACAAAAGGGAGACATTGCGTGAGGTCTGGACCATCTTATCACCGTGTAAGACAGAGGTGTCAAACTTTTTGGTCAGGGGCCGAATGAAAAAATAGGAACTGGTCAGGGGCCTGAAAGAATAGGAGTGATTACTTTTACTTCTAACTGTTTTTTACATAATGGAGGACATTTGACTATGACTTTCACTATTATTTTATTAGAACACATTGCTTTTTATTTCATCATTTAACTTCTAATGATGTGTTGGGTTAAATTGTTTGAATAAATTAAATGTGGTTGTTTTCCTGAGAAAGTTAATAATAATAATTGAAAATAATATTAGGGGTCACAAAAAATTGTCTTGCAGGCCGGATTTGGCCCACGAGCCTGAGTTTGACATGCCGGGTATAAGAGGGGAAGCGTATGGTCAGATCTGATTAGCGCACCAGTATTAAAAGTATATTTCCCAAATGTCATGTCATGTCATTTGCTACCCCTTTATTAGTCCATTTCTGGGTCCGGTGGCAATCAGAGCTGCCACCCAAGTCTCATAGCAGCAGTCCCTCACTGATCCTCCTGCAGGTGGTGGGTCCACAGGAAGATGGCCTTGGTCTTTCAGCTGGCAATGTGGGCTAAAGTGTCTTGCCCAGGGACACAACGACAGCAGACATCAGTGGGAGCAGGTGACATGGTCCATGGTGGGCTCGAATCCCCAAATGCATTGTGATATATAGATAACATTTGTTTATTGTCTGTTATGTGTTTTTTATTCATGGTCGTGCATTGACGAAAGCAAACAACTGCATGAAAGTGATGGATATAAATCAAAATACTCCAAAGAAACATGGAAAAGTATCATCATTGTTAATATGGATGCTTTTTTTACCCAGTGATATCTTCTCTCCGGAGTCGGCCGGCAGCAGAAACACCAGCAGAGCCAGTCCTGAGATGAGCACGCAGGGGATGAGCAGGTTCAGGCCGTAGTACAGTGTCCTACGCCGCATGGTGACCGTGAACGTCACATCAGGGTACGGCTCTTTGCAGCACTCGTAATACAGCTCATTACGCTTGGACGGCACACCTGCAACGGGAGAAAGAGGCCACAAATAAAGTCTGACCTCATAAACGCCTGACCTTACAGTATTTGTAGCGTTTCATTCAGTTTCATAAACATAAAACCCACGGTCAGTTGCTTTCATTTTCTCGCACGTGTTTGAAAAAAATGTACGCTAAGTCAAGTTTAGGGTTCTTTTATACAAATTGCTCTGGCACATATCAGGGAAAAATCTTGTGCCAGAAGAGGGACCCAAACCAAAAGTGGCATGTTAGCAAACACAATATCAAAATAGAAAATTATGTAGAGTGGCAGACACTAGCATTTAAATGATCAAAACAGTGAGTATTAGTAGTAGTAGTAGTAGTTTATTTGTTCAGTCACTTTTTCACAACTCAGACAATACAGATCATTTGAAAAAAAAAAAATATATAAGTAAAAAGTAAAGTTGACTGAAAGGGTTTAGGCTGAAGTGAAACACTTATAGAAGCCTAACCCTACTATAGCTTACTATAACCAGAACAACTAAAACAGCAACAATTAGCTTTCAGCATGGAAAAACAATAGAAAATACATATCTATATTTTTGCAGAAAAGACATGTAGGTAAATGAGGATTCATACAAATTGTTTTGATGATATAAACAATATTATAATGGTAATAATAATAATAATAATAATGTTGATAATTGCTTTGATATTATTTATTTATTCTAATTCTCTATATTTATTTATAACATGAATTTTAAGGACATTTTTGAAAATCTTGATGGATGTAGTTTTCTTTAGTGACTCATCCAACCATTCCAGACAGCAACTCCTCTAACTGAGACACATCTACACTTTGCTTTGGTCCTGGCAGTGACCCTTTGGTAAATGTCAGTTCCTCTAAGATTATAATTTGATTCTCTGGTGTTGAACCTTTCCTGGATGCATTTAGGGACATTATTATTATTACGCAAACAGTCACCAAGTAAGAGGAGTTAGCAAAAAGTGAATGGTGAAAGTGAGACATGAGCACTTCCCTTAGGATTCACAAAGCTTAAAAAATAGAAGTAGAGATGGAGAATGGACTTTAAAACAGCTCTGCTCGTGTCCAAGTCTCTCCATGGCCTCACACCAAAATACATCTGTGGCATTTTAGTGCTAAATGACCCGACTCGGACTCTGAGGAGCACAGGGACTGGACTCCTGCTGGTGCCCAGAGTCAGGACTAAACATGGGGAGGCAGCATTTCAGATTTATGCAGCTAAAATCTGGAACAGTCTACTTGAAAATGTGAGACAGGCTTCTACTTTACTCCAGGTTAAAAACAGTTGTGTTGAGCTGTGCCTACACCTGAGGGATTTTATCTTTCAAATTTTTAATCTACTGTGATTGTTTTAATGCCTTGTGTGATTTTGATGCTTCTTTAAGCACTTTGAGTTCCCTTGTGTATGAACTGTGCTATACAAAAAAACTTACCTTGCCTATAGTGGGTTAGTGCTGCCCATACACAGTTAAAGTCTATGATGCTGACATGTATATGACCCAACTCCCATGAAGTAAACTTGACAAACTTGGTTATCTTGTTTGTCTAATCAAAAAAACACGGTTTATATCATATACAGTTGTTCCAGATGAAAGGCTGTTTGCCAGAATCTGATTAGTGAAGCTTGACTTTGATGAGTGACATATAATCTCATCATCGGAGAAGAATACATCCGGAACTATGATTAAAATCAACACGCCTTTGTTTCAATCTAAAATCCACCTGAGCAGCCGCCAAACCTCACCGTCTGCATTTATCTGCTCCGTCTGCATATGCACTGCTCTATCTCAGACATGTAATCACAAATCTCACAATCAGACGAGGACACACACACACACACACTTTTCCCGGCCCACCTCGTGTCCGCCGACGGAGAACGCAATACTCAATTGGACGGATTCGATTTCACTCCATTTAAGCAGTGTCACCTGCAGTCTCGGGAGAAACCGCCTCTATTGGTTGTGTTGTAATTTGATGGATTGCCGACCTGCAGATGCATTGGCCACATCCTCAGTGACACAACAGAGCAGTATGTGTGCGTGTGTGTGTGTGTGTGTGTGTGCGCGCGTGTGTACGTATTTAAGTGTGTGTGTAAGCCTGTGCAAACCCCCTTGTGTCTGAATCAAGCCGACCAATTATAAGCCAGATGTCACCATACACTAGCACAACCCCATACACAAGCGCCTACCACACACACACACACACACACACACACACACACACACACACACACCCACACACACACACACACACACACACACACACACTCAAAAACACACACAAGTTGGCTTTTTATGCTATTTAGTGATATCACATACAGTCTGTGACGCTGACATGTTTTTGACCCCAGTCCCATTTTACATTGGTGTAATATATTCTCTTGGGGACCCATTACTATCTTTAGCCATAGTCCCTAAGTGCCTAAGTATTAACCTTCACTTTGCACTCAACCATAATCAATCCATATCTAATGTTCAAACCTTGTAATGCCATCGCTCTCCTCACGGAGCGTTTAAATCATGAGAAGCTATTTTCTGTCACATTGAGGAAGAATCGAATGTGACGAATTTCAGTCCCCGTAATAGGATACAAACAAGATCAGACACATGCACATACAAGCACATACACCTGTACACACACATCAAACACACGCACACACAAGCACACGCACACACACGCGTACACACACACAAGCACATACACCTGGACACACACATCAAACACACGCACACACACCTGTACACACACATCAAACACATGCACACACAAGCACATACATTTTCACAGACACGCACACACATACACACATTCACCGACATACACACACACACACACACACACACACACACACTCTCCACCACTCTGACCCCTGTCTGCCAGCTGGGGACACTGGGACGTTGCCTTGTGTCTGATTAGCAGCCATCCAGACATTTAGCCACGTTATGTCCACCTCATGAGATGCATTTTTGACTCTAAAAATAAAGCTATGTTTCCCTCCACAGCTAAAATGATATAAAGACAATTTCACAACATCAAACTTTGAAGGAAAAAAATAATACATACATTATCAGACACCTACTTTGTTATGATCACATTTGTAGATTGTGTTAATATTTTGATACAGGTGAAAAACTAGAATATTGTTGAAAAGTGAATTTATTTCTTTAATTCAATTGATGATTGACTAAACACACGTCGACCTTCATGCTCCAACACGACTGCGATAGTTTTAACACTTTTCATATCAACTTTTCCGTTTCTCACCGACTAAATCCCACTCTCCGTTGGGGATGTAAGTGGAGATGTCCACGTCCATCATCTGCAGATCCAGGAGCCAGCCGTCGTGAGTCCAGGATCCAAACTTCAAATCACACTTCTGGATGTCGAACGGGAACCACCGCACGTCGATGTAACACGTGCTTTTCAGAATGCCTGAAGGGCAGAGGAGGATGGACCATTATTCTTCTACTTACACTACTTTGGGATGGATTGGATCGTGTACGGATCTGTGTGGATGGGAGACTGCAAGGTACAAAAGTGCTTTATAGATTATTTTTTTTTACTTTATTAAAAACATCATGTCCTCAATATGTTTTTGTATTTTTTACATAAAAGCAAAAATACACACACTCACACAATAAAACGCATACAAATGATAATAAGAAAATATTACAGTTTTTTCCTACTGCTTGAACACTATAGACAGACGCTTAGACCAAAGTTACAGAACCTGAAACTTTTGTTCTAAACCTAAAACACAGACTGACCATTGCTTAAACAAAAGTACTGCTTTGCACTCTACTTTCATTTCTACAACACACTTTCTCCTTTTGGAACACACTTTCTCTTTCTGCAACACACTTTCTCATGCTCACTACACACTGTGTCATACATAAGACACTTTGTTCATAAATGCAATCCTGTATTTATCATTGGGAAAACACATCTATTCAAAATACCAAACACACTGTGTGATTGAAAACACTCAGACACACACCTGAAAACACTTACTTACAAAACGTGACACACATCAGTCAGACATAAATGGGCCTCATTTCAGCCTTCTTTAGAACTTTGCAAGTATGGAGGAGGCAGGAAGAGCAAGAGGTAGAGGTAGAGGAAGAGGAAGACAAGGAGCAAGAGGAGGAGGACGTGGTCGAAGAGGCCATGTACGAAACATTATATCTGATGATATTAGAGCAACATTGGTTGATCATGTCATCAATCATGGCCTCACAATGAGGGAAGCTGGCCAGAGAGTCCACCCACACCTGAGTTCACAGTTGCATCCATCATAAGGACCTTCAGACTGGAAAACAGGTATGTCTCCAACTCTTTACTGTATTTACAGCATCTACAGTATTTACAGTACTTTTCCGTATCACATGTACTGTATTTCAAGTTGGCTTGGTACATAGCACTGTACCATTGAGATGTCACAGTACTGTGAACAGTATACAGTGCTGTAAAAAATAACTAAACCCGTAGTAACAATTTGTGGTTGCATATTTCTACAGAATGACTAGAAGACCTTTTGGAGGGGGTCGGCAACACATGTTCACTCAACTGCAGGAACTTGCCATTGTAGAAATTGTCAGAGAAAACAACGCAATCTCTCTCCGCCAGCTACAACAAAAGATTATTGCAGATGGGCAAGTATTTGTAAACATCAATGAAGTAAGCCTCACCACGATTGGACGTGTCTTGGCAAAGCACCAACTGACAATGAAGCAGTTGTACAGGGTCCCGTTTGAGAGGAACAGTGTCAGGGTCATAAGACTTCGACAAGAATATGTACAAGTAAGTTTTGCAGTCTTTTACTGTATTGCAATTTATGTAATTCATTACAGTAATAGCTGTGCCATTGTACCAGTACCACATACATGCAAAGAGGGAAAAAGGCACTGGTGTGTTTGTGTTGTAGGGAGGGGTGTGACTCTGTGTGTGTAGTACTGTGTTTTGAGTAATGCCAGCCATTCATGCTATGTATTTTGTTGTTGCAGAGAATCTTGGACATGGATGGAGCTGTACAACTACATGAATTCATCTACATTGATGAAGCTGGTTTCAACCTCAACAAAACTAGACGACGGGGTCGTAACATAATTGGTCAAAGGGCAATTGTGCATGTCCCAGGGCAACGCGGGGGAAACATCACATTGTGTGCCGCCATAAGCCTTCGAGGGTTACTACATCATCGTGCCAACCTAGGCCCCTACAATACACAGCAAATACTAGCATTTCTAGATGCACTTCATGATGCACTTGAACGGGACAGACCAGAGCAGCCCAGGTTTGTGATTGTCTGGGATAATGTTAGTTTCCACCGGGCTGCTCTGGTCCACAACTGGTTCGCCCACCATGCTCAATTCCAAGTTGTTTACTTGCCTCCTTACTCACCATTCCTGAACCCTATAGAGGAATTTTTTTCCGCTTGGAGATGGCGCGTGTATGACCGCCAACCCCACGCTCGGATGCCTCTGCTTCAGGCGATGGAAGAGGCATGCAGAGACATTGAGGTAACGTCCATCCATGGATGGATTCGACACACAAGGAGTTTCTTCCCCCGTTGCTTAGCAGGAGAACATATCGCTTGCGATGTGGATGAGATCCTGTGGCCAGACCCAGACAGACGCCGGGATCCATAATGCCACCCATGCACTATTGCCTATAGTTTTACATTTTTATTTATATTTTGTTTACTGCATTTTACTGTACTGTAAAGTATACTATGATGTACAATATTGAGTTAGTATTTTGTAACCTCTCAGTACTTTCATTTTTGTTTGTTGGTAAACCTTTGTTGAGAACAAGAACTTTGAGCTTCAAGTTAACTGAGAAACAGAATAAAAACAGTGGAAAATGAAAGACTAGTGTTTTATATAAAGTACTGTAGTGTTTTATATAAAGTACTGTAGTGTTTTATATAAAGTACTGCAGTGTGTTGCTTCCAATCTGAAAGTGTGTTCACATGATGCATGTGTGTGTCATTTTGTCCTCAGAGTTTCATTTTGACAAATTATTGTTTATTTTTGAGAGCAGAGTTTGAGTTTTGAGAACAGAGTTTGAATTTTGAGAACAGAGTTTGAGTTTTGATAAAGGAGTTTGATTTTGAGACAGATGTGTATGGTTTATGTCCCAGTGTTGTGTTTAGAGTTTTGGGACTATGAGCGAAATTTAGCAAAATGTGTTCAGGCAACAGGAAAAAACTGTAATGGACATTTATCTATGAATGCCTATGAACATTTATGGACACCCGCTCCTTATGGACCAATGGCTGTTTTTATTGTTGCATTTCCTGTGTTTGAACTCTTTGATTCTCTGATCTGTGTTGGCAAATCGAGTTCTCTAAAAAAAACTACTGTTTGATTTAGTGCTAAATATGCAAGACTAAATTGAACTAAATTGAAATTAATTTAATTAAGAAGTGTTGTTTCAAAAGCACAATCTGACCTGCTCATGATTAAAATACTTGTACTTCTTAATAATAGCAAACTTTTTCCCAGAGTCCCCTGTTTTGTTGAGGACTGGTCCACTCCGCACACAGCTGTCTTACCTGGAGGGATGTACTGGCAGGCTCCTGATGCGTTGACCAGAACATTTGTGTGGAAAGTGGCATCAAACCTCTCATCGGCACTGAGGAAGAGATGGGGAAACGAAATGATCAAAGAAAGTAGGGCTGTGATTCATGATTATTATCAATAGTTGGCTGCATTATTCTTTGATTAATCGATCACCAGTATTTGTTTGAATCATAAATGGCTCAAATGTCTTTTATTTTTAGATGTATTTGAGGAAAACAAAGATAAAAAGACAAAAACTTGAGAACACTATCTCTATCTCATAGGACCCCAGGAAGTTTCTTAGAGTTTCTTAGAGTAACAAAGGCAGACTATACGACCATGTGGAAGCAGATACAATAAAATCAAATTAAAAATAGACAAGCTATAACACAATTGATTTTATGTTCATTTCAAAAACTTCTTCACAGCCTGCATGAATCTCTGTTAAAAAAAAAAAAAAATCATTCATTGATTAGTTGCCAACTATATGTAATAAAGGAAAAGAATGAAACAAAAAGGACCAAAGTTTGAGTAACAAAGTTTGAAAAGCAGAGGAAAGTCAAAGGCAGGAGACGATAACGTACCAGGGGAGACAGAGAAAACAGTCTGTCGTTTACACCGGGGAATTAGAACTCATTATCGGCACAAGATAAACATAAATATGCTTTTCTCCTCTAGATTCTACAGTTAAAGTTAATCAGACTGACTTTTTGTTGCAGGGAAAAAGTTTGTAGCAACAGAAGGTAGTTGTGAAAGTGGGAATGTATTATCAAAGAACTGAGCACAATATTTGTTTTGGCGAAAGCAAACAGAGTTAATTAGAATATTTGCATTGGGCAGAAACTACACAACGGACAAATTATGTTGTTTTTGTTTTTTCAACCTGGACTATATACTTTGATATGCTGAAAAAACATCTAATTTACGCCTGAATGTAAAGAGTTCATATTGTCTTCATATGTTTAAGGCTTTGAAGGTTCTTTTAACTTTCTTTACCCACTTGTCTTATTGAAAGAACCTTCAAAGCCTCATCTCATTTACAGAGTCTGACCATAGAAGACATTTCTAAAGACAAGGCAGGACAAGTTTATATAGCACAGTTCATACACAAAGCAACTAAATTTGCTTAACCAAACAAGAAAACATTTAAATTATACAAGGCATTAAAAAGGCCTTCCAATCAAAAATAATCAAAGTACATAAAAAAAAAGAGTATAGATGCAATCCTTCAGTTGTATGCACAGCTAAACAGAACTATTTCAACTGGATTTTAACATTGTCCCTAAAGTATAATTTTGGAAGGATTTTAATAAAAGCCTGTCTCATCTTCTCAGGGAGACTGTTTCAGATTTTAGCTGCATAAATCTGAAACGCTGCCTCCCCATGTTTAGTTCTGACTCTGGGCACTAACAGGAGTCCAGTCCCTGTGCTCCTCAGAGTCCGAGCTGGTTCATATGGGACTAACATGTCACGGATGTACTTGGGTGCGAGGCCGTGGAGAGACTTGTACCCGAGCCGAGCTACAATAAAGGTACACTGTGTAGTTTTTACTCCCATCTAGCATTGATCATATATTGTAATTTACGGTACTACGGTAGCTTCGCAGGACAATATGTCGTCTTTGACAGTGGTCCCCAACTCCCGATCAAACTCCTTTTTGTCCCTTATCAAGATGGCGCATTGACACAGACTAACTAACCCACAACTAACCCTAACCTCCTGAAGAAGACCTCACCACACACTGTCCTACTGTCCTTCAGCTCTCATGTATATTTGTAGGTCAAATTCTAAGCCTATATGACAACAATTCAAAAACATGGTGGAGGTAGGCTTTTCATTAGGAGCACCTGTAGAAATTACACAGAGTGGCTTTAAGGTCTATTCTCTGAGCCACAGGAAGCCAGTGCAAAGACCTGACAACTGGACAGACCTGAGAACTTACAAAAAGGAATCAATAGTCATAGTAAATTGCGTTATTAAATTACTAAAATAATGGATAGCTGCAGTCCAAACTGAGAAGATGATCCATTTAAGCTAATCTGATGATCGGCTGGGGACAGTGTGGAGTGTGCTGTGTTTGGTCATTATATTTGTATAAACTCATTGACTGCCAGCCGTTATTGATGATTAGACTGATGAGAATATTATGTGCTTTGACTATGTGAAAATTGTTTCAGCAAAATCAGCAAAAAAGATGTTCGTTTCTAGCTATTTTTGTTGTCCTGTAATCCCTGGTCGAATAGAGGGAAGTTTGACAGAAATCACCAGTCTCAGACAAATACGTCAATAGTCAGTGAGACAGAAAGTGCAGCTAAACTCATGATGGAGTTATTTCAACAGTCCTTGTTTTGTGTTTTGATAAATGTCGATAGAATGTTGTCCTGTTTGTGACCAAGATGCTGTTTCATTGTAAGACAGATGTTTGACTCCTATCTGCTGCTTGACAATAAATACATCTCATCTAATTATCTTATGAGGATCAGATTTGGTTGTGAAGGTTTGTGATGATTTGCAATGAGCGTATTGTTAAAGTTAGAAGTTTATCGGCCTTTCTACGTATGTACTTTAAGTGATTGTCTGGAGTTTGTCAAAAAGAGAGACAGAGAGGTACTTGATTTGAAAAAAACGACGCAAGCTCCCTCCCCCTTCCTTTCTGATTGGTCTACACCTACGTTTCCGTAACACTTTTAAATGTTAATCAGAGAACACATTATACATATACATTATTAATACACATGCACGGAGGTTTTCAGAATTATTTGTCAACGTTTTAATGAAAAAAATAATGTTTTTACGCACGAAAAAAGCGATCGCGGCAAACCCGGAAGTGCTATTATTATGAATTGCACATTATAGGACACATCTGCAGAGGATCTGATTATGTATATAGGTTCAGTATATACATAAGTAACTCAGCGCGGATGTTCAGAATTCTTTGTTCAGTTTTCATGTAGTTTCAGAGCCTAATGGAGGCTTGATTCGGAGGCTCCGCGAAAACAAACAACTGAGCATGTGCGCAGCTGCGAGCATCAGCACCGATGATTGACAGCCCTTGGCATGACTCGATTGGTTAACCTCGACGGCATTGTGGATTCTGAACTATAGCTAAGAGAAGGGAAGGCGGGACTTACCCGTAATATTAGAATTAATAAAATGACTTATTTTATATCAACATTTAACACATTTCCTGAAATTTGTAATTCATTTAGAGTTACAGACTATCACTTTAAGCTGTTTTAAATAACACAGGTGAGAGACATGACACATCATTTTGACACACCCCTTTTTGAACCATGTAGTTATAGTTTATAATGATCTATGTGAAGATACAGTATGTGTTGTGCAGGTTGATTCTGTCACATTTTTGGTACTACTGTAAGTGAGGGTGGTCCACTCTTTTCACTTCTCTGTCTGAACAAGATGATCCAAAAATGTGACAAAGGGAAAATCCATGCGTGTGATAAATGTATTAGTAATAGCACCGCAGATTTGAGAGCGAAACTAGTTAGATTTAATCAAATAGTTACATAGATTGAAAGTGAAGTGCCCAAGCTACACAATGTAACACAATGTCAATTTTAGTCTAGACTTTGTGCAACCTTGAAACTTTGTCGTTTGTTTTTGCGAATACAAATATTATTGACAGGGAACACAAAAGTCACACCACACCCCACTGTCCATAATTTGTCCCCAGCTCTTATCTCTGGACAGGAGAGGAGGCTCTGTGTGGGACAGCGACACCATCAATCTGAACAGCGAGTTGGGACGACGCCCAGAGACATAAACCAGGACAAGGCTTTACCCCATTCAGATGAACAGCCACATCCATAATCTAAACTCAATCACCGCTTTCACCTCGCACACGCAGCGGACACTGAGGCCAGGGCACAAAATGTAAAACAGGACACAACTCTGAATCATCTTCTCTCTTTTTTTTTTTTTACATGTGATAGTATGCATAGCTTTGTCCATTCAAATCATTACACTTTTTACTTTGTTTTTTAATATTTTAAAAAGTGAAACAATATTATAAGTAGAAATGATATGGTGAAACGAGTCCCAAGGGTGAAAAACGCAATACATGTTAAATGGAAAAGCAAGTATTTATTAACAGGAATGTAAATGATAATTAGACATAAATCAAAAGGACACAATACAGGACATAAGGGGGTAACTCAATGTTACCAACAAAACCTGCACTAAACTCCTTAAAATCCAAAATCATTTGCTCAATGGGAGGGGCCAGGAGCCGTGTTTGGCACAGTCTGCCGCTGGTTAGAGGAGGTAAATTGAAACTTAAAGGGGACCTTTGTGTCAGTGTGAACTTGTTTTTTTTTGTGCTAATTTCTTTGTAGATACGCTCTGCACTGCCTTCACCATTTGCACCCTGGGAGTATAGAAAATAAACCCACCTAAGCACTGGACTCCGAGCTCGCCTGTTTTATCAAACAGAACATTGTTTGATTTTTGCATTTTTAGGAAAGAGCCCTGTGAGTCATTATTTGACTTGGATTGAGTGGATTATCTGAGCTGATCGAAACTTTAGCATTAAAAAGAAGCAAGTATAAAATCTTGATCCACGCGTCAAATGGAGTGAGTACCAAACACCATCTGCTGGTACTCATCTGAGAACCTCACTGAAAAAGTTATGTGCACCCCTGGCTATACGGACCATAAGGAGTGCCTTTAAGTCATTGCCACCACTCGTGACAATGACAGACACTTTTATAAGGACAAATGGCATACCAGCAACACACAGGCTGGCAGCCCCGAACAGGTGTGGAGTGTGGCCTTAAGTGGGAGGGTGACTCCAGGTGGGGAAGCTGGATGGGCCAGGTGCACCGCTGCTACTCCAATGAGCACCTGAGTCAGGGGCTTCTGGGAGGGCCAGGGGTTCTCGAGACAGGAAGGGTTGCCACACACACACACAAAAACACAAAATCCAAAACAGGAGAAATTTACAGGCCCAGGGCTGTAAGATTCGGTTTCAGGGGCCATTTGGTGGTTTTTGGGTTTGGCGGTATTGGGTCATTATGAATATTAAAGTACTGAAATCAAATAAGGGTACAAAAA